GACGACAGACTCTGAGCACCCGTTGGAGTAATGGTGCAGAGAGCAGACTGCATGCTCACCACTTACAGCAGGGATTGCCTGACTGGATTCAAAACAGAACATGTGAAACAACCAACATGCTACAACACCTGCCTGCAAGAAACACAGCTGAACACAAAGACATAAATACGTTAAAGGCAGAGGGGGACAAAGTCTGCCCCGCTGACGCGTTACAAGCAAGCTGGAGTCGCCATATCCAGACCTGACCAGACAGCCCAGAGCGGAGGTGTCCGGAGGCATAAAGAGGGTTGTTTCGCAATGAGGAAGGGGTCTGTCATCAAGCGGACCCAGGAGTCTGAGACTTTCAACACCTAACGTCAGAGCTCCGCTGCGAAACGTAAACTAAGATCTGCAAGGAGACTGAATCCGGGGTAATGGCATTTCAACAATGCATAGCCAGAGACGCCCCAGGAGCAGACGTGCCCACAGCAGCCACCTTGCTCTGACTGTCAGGGAGGACATCACCCTACAACAGCAGAAGACAGGGCCTCCTCAAGTATGCATGAAATACCCACCGAAAGAGATGCCACACGCTGGGACAAAACCAAATGCTTTCTGACCACCAAACAAGCACCCAAGGGGCAGAAGCCTCATGGTGACGAGACGGCTGTGTCCGCTGGGAATGGCGTAGAACCCGTGTGGCAGCTCGGCCAAGGGCCAGAAGCCCTCCTGTGGAGGTTCTGCTCCGCCCTCCCTGCAGCCTGCACTCGGCCCCTCAGTCCCAGTGCACGTCAAACTGGGTACAGGTGGGGATGCTACAGGCCTGGGGAATGCGGTAGGGGGCTCCCTGCTCCCCCAAAAGACCGTGCATTTGTGACCAGGGCTTCAGGGAGAGGGTGTTGGCCACCGTGGAGGTCAGCTGGGAGCAGGGCCCAAGAAGCTGGGCCGCTGCTGACCAGGCCAAGCCCGTCTCTGTCCCACGTGGGCTGACACGCAGCATGGCCCGCCTGCTGGAGCTGGAGGGCTGAACGGCATGGCCCAGGATGGCCAAGCTCCCAGCCCTCCCACAGGCTCTCAGTAGGGGGGCAGTTTAGGTAAAACTGGGTTTAGAGTCTAACCTAAAGCTCTCTGGCTGCAGTGCAGACCCCCCGCCATCCCCAGGTTTGTGTGGGTGCAGATAGCACCATGTGTCAGCCTGCTCTTTATTCTAACCACAGGCTCAGTGGGCTGACGTCAGTGTTAAGCCCAGGTGGCCGCATTGCCAGGGGTCAGTGGCACGGTCTGCCATCAATTGGACCGAGGTGCACATCCCAGCTGTATCCTTACTGGGTGACATTGGAAAAATCCCCCCATGACTCTGGCCCGTACTGTGTGCCTGGCTCAGCCCCTGTGCTCACTGCCGGGCTCAGCCTTGAAGGTACTTGGAGAAGGGCAGCTGGTGTGCTCCTGGTGGCCGTCTCGGGGACACTCACCTGCAGAAGCAGACTGCAGCTCTGGGGCCCCACGAACCTGGGGCTGCTCCAGCTCCGAAGTCATTTCTGGTCTGGCTTTGGTCAGCTGCTGTAGGGACAGCACAGGTGCCATGTGATACGGCAGACATGGGGTACTGGCCACCAGTAGGCACCGGGCGGGGTGACATCAGGCCGGGTGGCGAGTGGCCACCCGAGAGGGGCCCTGCCCACACCATCTCCAACCATGGGCGTGTCCATCCTCCCAGTGGGGCTGACTTGGCCCTCCCTGCTCCTGGAGTGGGCCAGGCTTGGCCTCCGGGCAGGGCTAGGGCTGGAGGGAGGAACTGGTGGCTTGGGGCCACTGCGTGAGGGACACCTGGAGAAGTGAGACCTGCTGTGGGAAACTCCCATGCTGTGATGGGACTGGCAGGGGGAAGGGAAGCTGAACCCCAGAGGGAGAGAGAGAGAAGGGGGTGGGCTGGGGGTGCACTCACGGACACGCACACGTGCACACGCACACACCCAAGATGCACACACTCCCTCGAGTTTGGCGATGCCAGAGAATGCCTTCCAGAATGTTGTGACTACTCAAGGCCACGAGAAGAAATCCACTTCCAAGAAGCTTCTCACACCCCAACCGGGTCACAGACCTCGGCCGCCCTGCTTGCCTTGCCACAAAGTCCCCTGGACACCATCTTTCCCTCTACCCATGGGGGCTACCCTTAGGGTGGGTGAACCCTTCCCATGGGGGTGCCCTGCCGGGGTGTGCGCTCCAGGGCCGGCTGTGCCTGTTCTAGTAGGGGATAGGCTCAGGTACCCATGGAGTGTGGGACAGGGTCGGAGGCTCAGACGGTCATCTGACAGGGTCCCACAATGCCACTGTCCCCAGAACGCCCCAGGGAAGCCTATGGTGCTGGCCTGGCAGCAGCCGAATCTGTTGCTTGCTGGCACAGGCTGGGCCACTTCCTGTGTCATGGGTGTGCTGTGTTCCTCCCCAATGTTTGACTGACCCTGCCACAAAGGCAGCCTATTTGGCGGGGAACGGTGGCAACTTAGGAGGGCCACTGGGGCACCTGGAGGTACGGGATGCCGTGGAGCCCTGGGGGGGCATCATGGGGCCCTGGGAGCCCCACGGAGCCCTGGGGGATGCCACTGACCTGCATTTGGGGCCGGAAGAAGAGTCTGTCCAGG